CACAACAAACTAATATAGACTCACCAAACCTTCTCCTCCCCCTCTCTCTAGATCTGGTCAGAGGAAGATCATCATCAACATCTACTGCAGCGTCAGCGACGACGTTGTTTACATCAGCGACCCTGGAGTGAGGAAGTGCGGCGCGATCACTCTGGATCTACCGGATGCGTTGCCGGGGACGGTTGACGGCGCGGAGAGAAGTGAGAGGAGAGAGATCCGAACCACGATGCAGTTCGGAGACACAGAGATCAAAGTGATGGCGGTGGACATGGCGACCAATCGGACGGTCCGAGCCGCCATCGACTTCCTTTCTAATTGAGGAGACTAAGTACAAGGTCAAAGGATAAAGAAGGAGGAAGTAGGAAGTGGACCCACGAGGGATACGTCGAAGTCGAAGATCCAGGATCAATTACATTTTTTTATATTGAGTCTAGGCATGATGTGACATTTTAAGTGACAACAAGACCTTCAAACTGCTCAACATCACAATTTATTTTTCACATCCAAACAAAACATCTCATACTGATCTAGGATCAGGTCCCACTGGGAGTGACTGCTGCCTGAATATAGTGGGCTTGTTGGAGACCACTGCCGAGTCCCGACTGACCGATCCGCAAATCACCTTGCACCATCAATAACTTCATGATTATTTGCAGATAAGTCAGTCAGCATTTACCCACAATGCATCACGGATCAAATCCTCGCTCTCGAACATGGCCATAGACATTTGCCTGTATCTAGTTCCAGTGCCTCTGTCTTCAAGTCAACTGATGATATATTAATAATAATAGTACCTATGTCTTTGTTGTAGTGCCGCCTAGTGGCCAGCCGGATCGAACGACCAGCTCTTTCCATTCTCTGTATGGAGAAATAAACGGAACTATGGACTGGTTGAGACGAGGACTGACAGAAATATGCTATGAATATATCTGAACCATTGATTGTATACGCTAGTAAATTGTACCTTTTTTTATATAAAGTTGCTAGAAGGAAATGTAGGCCTCTTGGAAAAAAACACCAAATAAGGTATGATCACAACAGTGTATACGTTGTGTTCCTGCAGCTATCTTGATTGATCATGTATTTTTATACTCTTCTTTATATGAAATATTATCCTTTTATGTATAAAGAACTATCTTAAGAAATAACCCGTTTTATAGATTGTTTATCGAAGATAACCATATTATGGCATTTCAAATCCCAATGTCAGTTAAAGGTAGAATCCTCAGTTAAAACGATAACAAAGCTGTCGCCCATTTTGGTCAAAAGCTGAGGGATGGGCTTGGAAAAATGTAAGGACTCACAACCATAGACAGAGCTATGGATGCAAGGACTGACCATCCATGATATCACATGTAATAGCTTTAACCGTGTTGAGGCTACACTCTGTTAGTTCGCATTTACATTGTCAACAAACATTTGGAGTAAAAGAAGCTTATATATTTTGGGTTCTCGTGGAGTAAGATAGCTGAACTAAACTCATGAGGTATATACAATAGGTTATAGCGCATTCAGAAAGTATTCACACCCCTCGACTTTTTCCACATTTAGTTACAAAGTGAGATTAAAATTGATTTGTAACTTTTTTGTCAATGATCTACACAAAATACTCTATAATGTCAAAGTGGAGGAAAAATTATAATATTTATAAAAAATATTCAATAAAACATTATCTTGATTAGATAAGTATTCAACCCCCTGAGTCAATACATGTTAGAATCACCTTTGGCAGCGATTTCAGCTGTGAGTCTCTAAGAGCTTTGCAAACCTGGATTGTACAATATTTGCACATTATTCTTTTTAAAATTCTTCAAGCTCTGTCAAGTTGGTTGCCATTTTCAAGTCATGCCATAGATTTTCAAGACGATTTAAGTCAAAACTGTAATTAGGCCACTCAGGAACATTCAATGTCGTCTTGGTAAGCAACTCGTGTAGATTTGGCCTTGTGTTTTAGGTTATTGTCCTGCTGAAAAGGTGCATTCGTCTCCCAGTGTCTGTTGGAAAGCAGACGGAACCAGATTTTCCTCTAGGATTTTGCCTGTGTTTAGCTCTATTCTGTTTCTTTTTATCCTAAAAAACTCCCTAGTCCTTGCCGATGACAAGCACACCCATAACATGACGCAGCTGCCACCATGCTTGAAAATATGAAGAATGTTATTCAGTGATATGTTGGATTTTCCCCAAACATAACACTGTATTCAGGACAAAGCTAATTTCTTACATTTTCACTTTAGTGCCTTATTGCAAACAGGATGCATGTTTTGGAATGTTTATATTCTGTACAGGCTTCTTTTAACTCTGTCAATTAGGTTAGCATTGTGGAGTAACTACAATGTTGTTGATCCATCCTCAGTCTTCTATCACAGCCATTAAACTCTGTATGTTTTAAAGTCACCATTTGCCTCAGTGTGAAATCCCTGAGCGGTTTCTTTCCTCTCCGGCAACTGAGTTAGGAATGACACCTGTATCTTTGTAGTGACTGGGCGTATTGATATACCATCCAAAGAGTAATTAATAACTTCACCGTGCTCAAAGGGATATTCAATGTCTGCTTTTTTTTTCTTCTTACCCATCTACCAATAGGTGCCCTTCTTTAAGAGGCATTAGAAAACCACCCTGGTCTTTGTGGTTGAATCTGTGTTTGAATTTCACTGCTCGACTGAGGGACCTTACAGATAAATGCGTGTTGTATACAGAGATGAGGTAGTCATTCATTATTGCACACATTCCATGCAACTTGTGACTTGTTAAGCACATTTTTGCTCCTGAACTTACACTGAACCAAAAATCGGTTGGTCACAGATACCTTTAAAAAAAGGTAGGGGCGTGGATCAGAAAACCAGTCAGTATCTGGTGTGACCATCATTTGCCTCATGCAGCGCTACACATCCCCTTCGCATAGAGTTGATCAGGCCGTTGATTGTGGCCTGTGGAATGTTGTCCCACTCCTCTTCAATGGCTGTGCGAAGTTGCTGGATATTGGCGGGAACTGGAACACGCTGTCGTACCAGTTGATCCAGAGCATCCCAAACATGCTCAATGGGTGACATGTCTGGTGAGTATGCAGGCCATGGAAGAACTGGGACATTTTCAGCTTCCAGGAATTGTGTACAGATCCTTGCGACATGGGGCTGTGCATTATCATGCTGAAACGTGAGGTGATGGCGGCGGATGAACGATACGACAATGGACCTCAGGATCTCTGTGCATTCAAATTGCCAAAGATAAAGTGCAGTTGTGTTCGTTGTCCATAGCTTATGCCTGCCCATACCATAACCCCACCATGGGGCACTCTGTTCACAACGTTGACGTCAGCAAACCGCTCGCCCACACACTGAGTCTGCCCGGTACAGTTGAAAGAGGCATTCATCCGTGAAGAGCACACTTCTCCAGCATGCCAGTAGCCAACGAAGGTGAGCATTTAACCACTAAAGTTGGTTACGACACAGATGAGCGTCCCGGAGACGATTTTTGACAGTTTGCGCAGAAATTCTTCAGTTGTACAAACCCAGTTTCATCAGCTGTCCAGGTGGCTGGTCTCGGACGATCCCGCAGGTGAAGCCGATGGATGTGGAGGTCCTGGGCTGGCGTGGTTACACTTGGTCTGTGGTTATGAGGCCGGTTGGACGTACTGCCAAATTCTCTAAAACGACATTAGAGGCTTATGGTAGAGAAATTAACATTGAATTCTCTGGCAAAAGCGCCGGTGGAAATTACTGCAGTCAGCATGCCAATTACACGCTCCTTCAAACCTTAAGACATCTTTGGCATTGTGTTGTGTGACAAACCTGCACATTTTTGAGTGGCCTTTTATTGTCCCCAGCAGAAGGTGCACCTGTGTAATGATCATGCTTTTTAATCAGCTTCTTGATATGCCACACATGTCAGGTGGATGGATTAACTTGGCAAAGGAGAACTGCTCACTAACAGGGATGTAAATAAATTGAGAAATAAGCTTTTTGTGCGTATGGAACATTTCTGGGATCTTTTATTTCACCTCATGAAACATGGGACCAACACTTCACATGCGTTTATATTGTTGTTCAGTATATTGAGGCTTGCCATAACAAAAGGGGTTGAATATTTATTGGCATACAACCCCCAACCGTCATTGAAGGGTAAAAGTAAACACAATTCGACTAGTGAAGTCTTCCAGATCATCAAATCAAGGTACTTTCAGTTAATGTTCAAACACACACCTCTTCCTGCCACACACACACAGGAGACTATAGTTGAGCTGTAAAAGTATTGATTTTAATGGTCCAATAATAAATAGTTCCACTGGCAAAGCAACAAAAACATTGTCAACATCATGACTAACTCAGTGCGTGTGACAGTTACAAGCATTACAAAAGACAGCACCCTTGACTCTGTCCTAGACAATGGGTTGGATGGGGGTTGGAAACGTATGCAAAAAATGGTATTGGGGCGAGGAGGCTCTCAAGTCTCCAGCCATCTCAATGTGAAGCGATGTGAGACAAAGGGAATAGCAGTTGTGGTTTAGTAGTTTGTAAGACAGACTGTTACATTCACACACACACACACACATATAACCGATGAACTGCTTTTGCCAACTAACGCATTGAGGTGACTGGACAACATGGATGCAAATCAGTTACAAGGAGAGGCTGAGGGAGAGAAAAGGGAAATTGGACCAAATTCTAGCATCATCCTAGCCAGAGCCCAGATTACCACGACTACCGTTGCTGTTGCACCCCTCCTGTAAGATGTGTTGGAGGGGACTGAAGTGAGACTGGACCAGAGCCATAGACATACGTAGCTCAGTAAACTCCATTAGAAAGATTCTACAATTCTCATAGAACCGCCATGTTGGTTCCAAACATTCAAAAAGACTTTCACATTCTAATTAATGAACAGAATCTAGACTGCTGTTGCCATTGGAACATTGTGACAAAAATGGATGATCCTTTCCTATTTCACCCTAGTTTGCCTGAACGTCTGTCTATGGCTCTGGAGGTTAGAGAGGTAGGCTCCCCCCCCTAGTGAGCGTGGGGTCTCCCGCGTCCCCGGCCTCTCCCGCCGCCTGGAGGCCCTTCTACGCTACTGCGGGGGTTCTTGATGGTCTCGTCCACGGAGAGGATAAGGCATGCGGCCTCGCTGGCGGCGGTCAGGGCGTTGATACGAACGATGGAGGGTTCCCACACACACGCCAGGTAGTTATCAGCTATATCCTCGTTGTTTACGTCTACACCGTACCACATACCACCCTGAGAGAGAGAGAGAGAGAGAGAGAGAGAGAGAGAGAGAGATTAGTGTGTGTGTGTGTGGATCTCTCATAAGGGTGTGTTGGAGCAGTAAGCCTAATGAAGCAGACTATAGACGAAAATCGGCGATTGAAGTCGGTGCAGGTGCATCTGCGACAGCAGAAAGTCGGACACTAGTGGTTTTCCAACAACAAGGCTCAGGTCAACACGGCAGTGTCAACATAGCTGCTATTGGTTATAAAAGTTTCTGTATAAAATGTTTAAAAAAAAAACATGTCTATACCCGTATATCACACTCAAACTGGAAACATAACGTGTGTACAATTCATTGGTTACTGACAGGTCCCAAATATCACTTTCCTTTGCATCCGCTGTAGCTTTAGAATCACAGCAAAGTTGGTTCCCGTTTCAGTCAAGTCTTTGGCCACGTTGGCGTGGGTCAACCAAAAACACCCTAATGGCAGGTTTTTGTTAAGTCCATGCAGTCGACATGTCAGTCGCAAGTCTGACAGTTGTTATAACCATAGTTAATGAGAATGGTTCTCCCGAGTGGCGCAGTGGTCTAAGGCACTGCATCGCAGTGCTAGCTGTGCCACTAGAGATCCTGGTTCGAATCCAGGCTCTGTCGTAGCTGGCCGCGACCGGGAGACCCATGGGGCGGCGCACAATCGGCCCAGCTTCGTCCAGGGTAGGGGGAGGGAATGGCCGGCAGGGATGTAGCTCAGTTGGTAGAGCATGGCGTTTGCAATGCCAGGGTTGTGGGTTCGTTTCCCACGGGGGACATAATGAAAAAATAAAAATAATGTATGCACTCACTAACTGTAAGTCGCTCTGGATAAGAGCGTCTGCTAAATGACTAAAATGTAAATTTAGTCCCAGTGTGCACACTTTCTCTTTTAAATGGGCCTAATCATAGAATCCCGATTAATTTAATAGGATCTCTATGGGCCTAATAGGAAAGATTGATCCTTTAACTTTTCAAATGTAGATATATATATATATATCCTTTTAATGTTGTCAAACAAATACATCAAAAGGCTGATGTAGGCTCCCTGGGCAGGTTAACTCAGGAATGGTGGAACAGCATTACGAGCGTTTATTTTGTTAAAAGTAGGCTGACATTTGGTTGGCTACAATCCCTTCTCTTCTGTCATTACTTGACGCTCGTCTAGAATACTAAAGCCTTTCCTCACCAGAATAAGGTCAGAAATCCATAGAATGACTGATCAATGCATCAATGACTGATCAATGACTGATCAATGCATCATCAACGATCCAGTTGACATCTGTAAAGTTAAACATGGAGCGAGGACGTTCAGGGACCAGGGAGATTTCCAAATGAAAGTTTGACCGGGTTTTAAAGAAATGAAAAGCTGTGAAAACAATCCAACATGTTTTCTGATAGTATTTCAGTTAGTCTTGGGTGCATATTTGATGTGGTTGAAAGAAATTGCATGTTTAGGCTCCACAACAGGGCCCTGAGCGCGCAATCACATTCTCTCAAGGTGTTGAAAATAAATCATTTCTCCACTCCTGTTCCCAAAAACAAAAACTAACATTTGGTCTATAATTTTACTGCGAAGAACACTTATTTCTTTAGGAGTTAATATTATAAATAATATGCCATTTAGCAGACGCTTTTATCCAAAGCGACTTACAGTCATGCGTGCATTCATTTTTACGTATGGGTGGTCCCGGGGATCGAACCCACTACCCTGGCGTTACAAGCGCTATGCTCTACCAATTGAGCTACAGAGGACCACCACCATTATAATAGGCTACATGAGGCCTACAGTCAGTGTCCAGACATCAGATACTATTCCAACTATTAAACTGCTCCACTAAAATAATTCTGGCATCCATACAGTGCCATTTGATGCAAAGAGAGAAAGTGTTCTGAATGACAGTCAGGTGATTGTTATCCTTTTAGGCACAAGTCTTGTAAACTGAATTGAGGACTACACTGTCCTGTCAGCACACGTCTTTGGTCACTCATCTCTGCTTGGGCAAAATGTCAGCGTTATCGTTGAACCACACCTAATTTGAGCGTATTCCACAAGTTTAAGTCTAATCGCTTTTGATAAATAGTGTAAATAGGTTCTAAGAAAACTGTAGGATGTTTTAATTATTGTGATAGGCTCATGTTTTAAACGGTACGGCATACCTGTGATAGGCTCATGTTTTAACGGTACCGCATACCCCCACTATTTATTTTGCCGGTACACTGTACCGGACCGGCTTACTTTCACCCCTGCCCATAATGCAACACACTGAAAGGTGCCCAACGACGGTCAATATCTTGACTAAAGTGATCCGCTGGAACGCGCCCATTGTCTACCCACCTATGAGTGCATGGTGTGTGTGTGTGTGGTGTGGGTGTGTGCGCGTGTCTACCTGTGCGTGCTTTTTGTGTGTGTGTGTGAGTGCATGGTGTGTGTTTATGGTGTGTATGTGTGAGTGCATGGTATGTGTTTATGGTGTGTGTGTGTGAGTGCATGGTGTGTGTTTATGGTGTGTGTGTGAGTGCATGGTGTGTGTTTATGGTGTGTGTGTGTGAGTGCATGGTGTGTGTTTTATGGTGTGTGTGTGAGTGCATGGTGTGTGTTTATGGTGTGTGTGTGTGTGTGTGAGTGCGTGGTGTGTGTTTATGGTGTGTGTGTGAGTGCATGGTGTGTGTTTATGGTGTGTGTGTGTGTGTGAGTGCATGGTGTGTGTTTATGGTGTGTGTGAGTGCATGGTGTGTGTTTATGGTGTGTGTGTGTGTGTGAGTGCATGGTTTGTGTTTATGGTGTGTGTGTGTGTGTGAGTGCATGGTGTGTGTTTATGGTGTGTGTGAGTGCATGGTGTGTGTTTATGGTGTGTGTGTGTGTGAGTGCGTGTGGTGTGTGTTTATGGTGTGTGTGTGTGTGAGTGCGTGTGGTGTGTGTGTACCTGTGCGTGCTTGGCCGCAGCTTTGTTCAGATGTTGGTGGCGTGTTGGGGAGTATGTGTTATGGTTGGGTAGGCCGATGTAGTCATGTGTGTTCAGGACTGGTTTTCTGGATAATCGAGTCTTGAGGTGTCACCTATGCAGCTCGCTTGCCCAGTGGTTCATATGGAGTGGGTGACTGCGGACACGGAAGTGGGGATGATTGAGAGGTTAGCGTAGGGAGAGGAGGGGCTGAGAGAAGGGTGGGAGAATGAGAGATGATGAGGTGGAGATCGACGACCGGCGACGACGAGGAGATGAGGGGAGAGGAGAAAGGGTGGAGAGAGGGAGAGGGAGAGAGAGGGAGAGGGGGATGAGAAAGGGATGGAGGAGAGAGAGGGAGGGGGAGAGGGATGAGGGGATGAGATAGGGTGGAGAGAGGGAGAGGGGGAGGAGAGTGTATGAGGGGAGAGAGAGGGTGGAGAGGTGGATGAGGGGAGAGTGATGGGGGAGAGAGGTGTGATGAGGAGAAGGGAGTTGGGGAGAGAGGTTGAGTTGATGGGGAGGGGAGACAGGGGAGGGAGAGGAGGATGAGGGGATGAGGGAGAGAGACAGGGGGGAGAGGAGAGAGAGGGATGAGGGAGAGAGGGATGAGGGGAGAGAGAGGGATGAGGGGAGAGAAGAGAGAGGGATGAGGGAGAGAGAGGTTAGTGAATTGATCTGGAATAATCACGCAGGTACTTTGAGAGGACCATCTCTACTGCACCAGCTTGGATGGTGGAGACAAGTTAGGGAACAGTCAGTGAAACAGATGCCTTGGGTTAGGTTGGTTACCCAGCCCAAGCCCTGATGAAATATCAGCTCACTGTAGAAGGATGGCATTGGTTTAAGTCATAGAGTTGGGTAGAGGGAACACGTGCTTCCAAATACCATTTTTAGCTTTAGGATGTGCCCTCTATCCAACTCTATGGTTTAGGTCCAGTGGCCTGCGGGTCAACCTACCTTGATGGCTCTGCGTACGATCATGATGGCGTCATGCAGAGAGCGTTCCGTCTCCTCCATGAACTGCTCGGCTCCGCCCCTCAGGATGATGGTGCACGTATGGGAGCGAGGACAACCCTTGAAGAAGTTATACCTGGAGGGGGCGGGAGGGGGCACATTTAAAAACACACACGGGCTTAGATGCAGTAGATCACAATTTTAAAACTAGTCCGGGTGACATTCTCCCAATTCTGTGCTATACAATATTTGAAAACAATAACCTGCCAGGCCAGTGACGTTTTCTACCAGCCAGGGCCCGGTTTCCCGATATCGATGGAACTTAGGCTTACGAGTGTTTTAACGATGCATCGTTCTCACGGCGGCCGAAGATGTAACATGCGGTTTCCCAAAAACACGGCGCAGAAAGAACGTTCGCCAAGTGCGTCGTTAGAGCCTACCGATAGGATCAAAAAAAGACAGCGCTGCTCTCGGATCAGCCTTCAAATTCAAATTCTTAACTTGAGATAAATTCTAGACTCCTAGAGATAAATTAAAATCACCCATACGGCTGCAAATATTGAGCCGGATAATTCTAGCCTACCTACAATAGGCCAAATGTACAAAAAAAATGTCAATTTGGCACATCAATGCGCACTTCACACATCATGAAATATATTGAGGCAAAAGTTAAGACAGCCTACAAAACGGCAAAATATTCATTGAATTAAAGCAAAATTGATTTTAATGTGATTGAAATATATATAGGTCTATGTAGTCCTACTGTAGGTCTCTTAATGCAGTCTTCTTGGTTTTCATTTGAAGCATAATTTTATCCTTCGCTTGTTTGTAACAATTGCAAAGACATTGGCAACTTTGTATTTGTAGGCAACTTTGTTCGGGGCGGTCACAGAAACAAACATCTTGATTCTGTGTTTAGCGGAGATCTTGGTGTATAAAACATGGAAGGGCAAAAAAATGATCCAACAGCGCACTTAGCAGTTCTACAAGTCTTCCAAGACAGTTGGTAAATAACTGTTTTCAAGTGCAACTTTAGTAACGATGGTTTTGGGAAACAGCTCAAATTTATCGATGCTCCTACAAAAGGTTCTTACGATGAACTTAGCCTTAAGATGCTTTTGGGAAACTGGGCCCCTGGTCTGAAAAGTACGAGCCTCTGGATCGCTTAACATTCATCCCTGAAGGGAGGTACACACACTGAAGAGTGTTCCTCCTAGGAGCCCTTACCGCTCTCCTCCGACCTGCACCTCCTCAAAGAGTTCACAGCGCCCCAGGACGTCGTCTGTCATGGAGCCAACACTGGTCTGGATGGAGCCCCCGCAGGCCTGGAGGACACATCACACACCACATTAGGAATACACACAGCTAGAAAAATGCACAAATCAATAGAAGAAGCATCTATAAGATGCTATTGATAACAATCCCACTCCAGACAGTTGCTCTAAATTCAGACAAATAACTTGTGAACTTTTCGAATGAGAAACAAACAAAACAAAAAAATCTGTGGCTTGGAAGACATTCAACTAATGAACACAACCCAGTTTTAAAAATCAAAATATCTTGACTGCACTGTGGTTGCATTGCGGTCCCCTACCATCATGGTCCTCTTGAGATCCTCCTCCTGAACACGTCCGGCGCAGAACAGATCCCGGTCAGCAAAGTACTGTGTGGCCACGTCACCAATGGGCAGCTTAGACAGGACCACCTTAAAAAAAAAAAAAAAAGCAGCAACATGTCACATTTCAGCCATAACTGATTTCTTCATGGTTTTAAAAACAAAGATAATTGTGAGTCTAGATGTACTATTGCTGTTGGGTTTTGATACGTTTAATTAAAAATGTCCTAAAAGTCTGCTAGCATGAAAGCTAACATCGTCTAACGTTATCCTCAGCAGCCAGCAAGCTAGCCTGCCGTAGTCATGGCAACTCTTTCAACCAACTGCCAGAGGCCGTGTAAACCAGGGGAAACGTCGTTAGCTAGCTACGTACCTTGGCTCCAGACTTGTAGATCTTCTCCAGCTTGTCATACAGGATGTTCCACTCTGCGTCTACGATGGCCTGGTAGTCCTGGAGAGCAGACAGAGGGGGAAAAGGTGCATTCCAATTCTCTAGACTTAACTCTTCCCTCATTCATTTCAAAAGCATTTGGTGTATGGTAGTGTATTTCCTATGGCTTAGTCAATAATATTCTTCATATTTCAGATGCCATCCAGGGACAGTGTGAGTGAATAGAACGGTTGTGTTCCGGCTCTCCATCTTTAGGATAGTGTCTGGCGGTAGTGGTTAGCCAAGACTCCAGATCACACACACATCACTGGTGACGTGGGTACGAATCACGTCTCATGTATATGTATATATACACACACACACACACACACACACACACACACACACACACACACACACACACACACACACACACACCTGTGGGAAAAATTAAGAGACCACTGCAAAGTCTTCTTAAAATCAGCATCTCTACATGTACGACAGCCATTCCATGCCAGTGTCTGTTGAATTCCAACACAGGCACACCTCATTCTACTGAATTAGGTGATCACATGAACCAAATTTTATTTAACGAGGAAAAGTATAAAAACCACTGCTGTGGTCATCACTATCCTCTTGCAATAGGACCAGCTGGATGGCAAAAACAGTGCTAATAGTACCTCAAAAGTAATATTAATCAAGAAATAACTATTGACCTTGCCAAGAGTTGAAAAGGAAAGTTTTGAGTGAGGAAAATAAGGGTTCAATTCAGGATTTACTGGCAGAGGGATACAGTGAGCGTCAGGTTGCTTCCATCCTTAAAATTTCAAAGACGGCGGTTCATAAGAACAAGGTCAAGCAGCAGACATTGGAGACAACAAAGCTACAGACCGGCAGAGGGCGAAAACTACTCTCTACTAACCGGGATGACCGCCAACTAATTCGAATGTCCCTCAACAACCGTAGGATGACATCAAGTGACCTACAAAAATAATGGCAAACGGCAGCTGGGGTGAAGTGCACAGCGAGGACGGTTCGAAACAGGCTCCTAGGGGCAGGGCTGAAGTCGTGCAAAGCTAGAAAAAAGCTCTGAGAAGCAAAGAAGAGCCAGGCTGAGGTTTGCAAAATACCATAAGGATTGGACCGTAGAGGACTGGAGTAAAGTAATCTTCTCTGATGAGTCCAATTTTCAGCTTTGCCCAACACCTGGTTGTCTAAATGGTTAGACGGAGACCTGGAGAGGCCTACAAGCAACAGTGTCTCGCACCCACTGTGAAATTTGGTGGAGGATCGGTGATGATCTGGGGGTGCTTCAGCAAGGCTGGAATCGGGCAGATTTGTCTTTGTGAAGGACGCATGAATCAAGCCACGTACAAGGTTGCTCTGGAAGAAAACTTGCTTCCTTTGTTCCCCAACTCTGAGGATTGGTTTTTCCAGCAAGACAATGCGCCATGCCACACAGCCAGGTCAATCAAGGTGTGGATGGAGGACCACCAGATCAAGACCCTGTCATGGCCAGCCCAATCTCCAGACCTGAACCCCATTGAAAACTTCTGGAATGTGATCAAGCCATCAAACAAAGCCGAGCTGCTTGAATTTTTGCGCCAGGAGTGGCATAAAGTCACCCAACATCAATATGAAAGACTGGTGGAGAGCATGCCAAGACACATGAAAGCTGTGATTGAAAATCAGGGTTATTCCACCAAATACTGATTTCTGAAGTTAAAACATTACTATTGTGTTGTTTAAAAACGAACATTAACTTATTTTCTTTGCATTATTCGAGGTCTGACAACACTGCATATTTTTTGTTATTTTGACCAGTTGTCATTTTCTGCAAATAAATGCTCTAAATGACAATATTTTTATCTGGAATTTGGGAGAAATGTTGTCAGTAGTTTATAGAATAAAACAAAAAATGTTATTTTTACCCAAACACATACCTATAAATAGTCAAAACCAGAGAAACTGATAATTTTGTAGTGGTCTCTTAATTTTTTCCGCAGCTGTATGTATATATATATATATTTTAAAAGAGGATCGCAACGTGTGGCAGTTATGTCTTTGTCTGTAGTGACAACAGCAGAGCCAAAATCATTAGTGATATAATAATGCCCCGTTATTGATCGCTAAATGTATTTATTGACTGATTGATAACTAACCTCGACAGACTTGACGCGGACCTCTGCGTTGTCTTTCTCGGCCTTCAGTTCCAGCTCCACATTGAGTAGAGCGATCTTGGGCTGGTCGTAGCGTTTAGGCTGCATCTCAAACCCAGCATAGGAGAACGTCTTCTTGAAGGCCACGCCAGCTACCAGGTGAGACTCCTGTAGAGGGAGGAGAGGAGACAGGGGGAGGAGGGTAGAGGGAGAGAGAGAGACAGGGGGAGGAGGGTAGAGGGAGAGAGAGAGACAGGGGGAGGATGGTAGAGGGAGAGAGAGAGAGGGGGAGAGGGTGAGAGAAAGAGAGAGAGAGGGTGTAGAGAGAGAAGGGTCTCTCTCCGTTTTCTTCAGGTAGGAGGGAGAGAGAGAGAGGGAGTCTTTTTTTCTTTCCCTCGAGGGTGTTCTAGTACATCTTGGTTAGAGAGGGGTAAGAGAGAGCAGGGGGAGGAGTAGAGGAGAGAAGAGAGAGAGAGAGGGTCTAGAGGAGGGTAGAGAGAGAGTAGAGGCTTTTGAGATGAGGAGAGGCGAGACGGGGGGTAGAGAGGAGAGAGAGGAGAGGAGGTAGGGTAGAGAGATAGGAGGAGGGCTCTTCTGACAGAGGTATAATTAGTCTCTTGTAGAGACCGACTGCAATAGGTGGTGGAATAAATGAAACCTTCTGGCAGGATCCAGACCACATGGTAGTGCAATAGAATCAATAATTTCCCTGTTTACACCAGACGGGACACTGGGTTGTACAGTGATAACACTAGGACAGGAGTAGGCAACCCACGGCATTTAACCAACTGGGAAGACCAGGTGTATTGAATTTAGGCAATCACTGAACTGATCAATTAGCTCAGTTGGTCAGATGTTGTGCCTAGTTGGAACAAAAGAGTTGCCTTCCCCGGCTCTAGGACCTACACCGCTCGTCTTCCCACCATGAAATGAGACTATAGAGAGACGAACCCTAGGCCCCAGCCCTACACCCAAAGATGGAGTAGAGAGAGACGAACCCTAGGTCCCAGCCCTACACCCAAAGATGGAGTAGAGAGAGACGAACCCTAGGTCCCAGCCCTACACCCAAAGATGGAGTAGAGAGAGACGAACCCTAGGTCCCAGCCCTACACCCAAAGATGGAGTAGAGAGAGACGAACCCTAGGTCCCAGCCCTACACCCAAAGATGGAGTAGAGAGAGACGAACCCTAGGTCCCAGCCCTACACCCAAAGATGGAGTAGAGAGAGACGAACCCTAGGTCCCAGCCCTACACCCAAAGATGGAGTAGAGACGAACCCTAGGCCCCAGCCCTACACCCAAAGATGGAGTAGAGAGAGACGAACCCTAGGTCCCAGCCCTACACCCAAAGATGGAGTAGAGAGAGACGAACCCTAGGTCCCAGCCCTACACCCAAAGATGGAGTAGAGAGAGACGAACCCTAGGTCCCAGCCCTACACCCAAAGATGGAGTAGAGACGAACGCTAGGTCCCAGCCCTACACCCAAAGATGGAGTAGAGAGAGACGAACCCTAGGTCCCAGCCCTACACCCAAAGATGGAGTAGAGAGAGACGAACCCTAGGTCCCAGCCCTACACCCAAAGATGGAGTAGAGACGAACCCTAGGTCCCAGCCCTACACCCAAAGATGGAGTAGAGAGACGAACCCTAGGTCCCAGCCCTACACCCAAAGATGGAGTAGAGAGACGAACCCTAGGTCCCAGCCCTACACCCAAAGATGGAGTAGAGACGAACCCTAGGTCCCAGCCCTACACCCAAAGATGGAGTAGAGAGAGACGAACCCTAGGCCCCAGCCCTACACCCAAAGATGGAGTAGAGACGAACCCTAGGTCCCAGCCCTACACCCAAAGATGGAGTAGAGACGAACCCTAGGTCCCAGCCCTACACCCAAAGATGGAGTAGAGAGAGACGAACCCTAGGTCCCAGCCCTACACCCAAAGATGGAGTAGAGACGAACCCTAGGCCCCAGCCCTACACCCAAAGATGGAGTAGAGACGAACCCTAGGTCCCAGCACTACACCCAAAGATGGAGTAGAGAGAGACGAACCCTAGGTCCCAGCCCTACACCCAAAGATGGAGTAGAGACGAACCCTAGGCCCCAGCCCTACACCCAAAGATGGAGTAGAGACAAACCCTAGGTCCCAGCCCTACACCCAAAGATGGAGTAGAGAGACGAACCCTAGGTCCCAGCCCTACACCCAAAGATGGAGTAGAGAGACGAACCCTAGGTCCCAGCACTACACCCAAAGATGGAGTAGAGAGACGAACCCTAGGTCCCAGCCCTACACCCAAAGATGGAGTAGAGACGAACCCTAGGTCCCAGCCCTACACCCAAAGATGGAGTAGAGACGAACCCTAGGTCCCAGCCCTACACCCAAAGATGGAGTAGAGACGAACCCTAGGTCCCAGCCCTACACCCAAAGATGGAGTAGAGAGAGACGAACCCTAGGTCCCAGCCCTACACCCAAAGATGGAGTAGAGAGACTCTTTAGACCAGGGTTCTTCAATTCCGGTCCTGGAGGGCCGAAACACCTCTGTTTTTCCATCCTCTCCTTCTAATCAGGGGCTAATTCAGACCTGGGACACCAGGTGAGTGCAATTAACTACCAGGTAGAAATAAAAAACAGAAGTGTTTCGGCCCTCCAGGACCGGAATAGAAGAACCCTGCTTTAGACTGTAGAGACGAACCCTAGGTCCCAGCACTACACCCAAAGATGGAGTAGAGACACTTTACTATATTGAGACTCAGCCCTGTAGTCTCACCTCACCAAAATGAACAACACCATTTTACCTCCAGAGCTCCCCTTAAGGTCCCAGTCTTACCTCCAGAGCTCCCCCCTGCACCTTCTTGATACCGATCATCTTGAGGGGCAGCAGGTCATCCAGCATCATGACGGCCTCCACCACCATCTCACTGAAGAACTCTTTCTGACCTGGGGTCGGGTTCAATTACAACATTAATACAACCTTTATACCAGAACCTTAACACCCCATTAATACCCTTACTTCCTTCTGAAAACTACCAATAGTTAAAGAGTTGCAACATTCCAAACATTCCCAGGATTGAGAAAAGCAGGTTGGAAGATTCCCAGAATCAGGAAGGAATAAGCAGGAAATCCAGAATCCTCTAACTAGGATTTATTATCTTTTTATTAGAAATGTTGCAACCCTACCAGTAGTAACAAAAGCTGTAGATGAATTAATTGTAAGTTATTTGTAAAGCAAATTCCAACACCTTATGTTTCTGTTGTTCAATAAAAAATTCAAAAACTCTGACCTGCGATCAGCTTGGAGTTCATGGCTGTGGCGGCACACTTCACCAAGAGTTCCCTCTGTTCTCTAGAGGGAGTGAGGGGAGGGAGATGGTTAGAAGAGGGGGAGTAGACAGTGATCAGCTTGGAGTTCATGGCTGTGGCGGCATACTTCACCAAGAGTTCCCTAAGGTTCTCTAGAGGAAGACTATGTTCAATCTGATATCCAACGGAAACTTGTCTTCTGCTTTATTCCATCCCCTTTGAAAGATCTCTCACACACACACACACACTCCCAACTCACTTCTTGTCGTCCTTCTTGACGGTGACAGAGATCTCTCTGATCTTCTTGACGGCCAGGTGCGTAGCGCTGCGGAAGGCTCTGATGATGGTCTGGGGGTGTAGACCCTCCTCCACGTACGGCTTCAACTGCTTCAGGAACTCTGCTGCCAACAGGGTCACAGACGTGGTACCGTCACCCACCTGGAGAGAGAATAGAAACTTTGAACACCAATAAGAGGGAGGCGGAGCGAATAGACTAACACTAGAACGGGAGGAAAGAGTATGAAAGTGGGACAGACAGGAGACAAACAAGAGACAGGCAAACCTCGGCATCCTGGGAGCGTGCGATGTCAACCAGGGTCTTGGCAGCAGGGTGAACCACATCCAGCAGCTTCAGGATGGTCGCCCCGTCGTTGGAGATGGTGGCTTTACCTGAGGGAGACATCCCACACATGCCTTCAGTATCATTGCAAAACAAGTGTCCAACTACTGCAGGCCATGTTCCCCCTCCACCCCTCTCACCTCTGCCGTCCACCATGAGTTTGTCCATGCCGCGAGGCCCCAGGGTGGTGCGGACGGCCTCGGCGATGACCTGGCAGGCATTGATGTTGCTGATCAGCTGGGGGACGCCCTGAGACGTATCTGTCCCCTCCTTCAGCAGGATAACCGGTGTGGGCTACAGGGAGAGAGGAGAGGGGGGAGGAGAGGTAAGCAAGACAGCCATGTTGGCTGGAGACAGACGTCTACATTATAGTGGTCCTCTGTAGCTCAGCTGTTAGAGCACGGCGCTTGTAACGCCAATGTAGTGGGTTCGATCCCCGGGACCACCCATACACAAAAATGTATGCACGCATGACTGTAAGTCGCTTTGGATAAAAGCGTCTGCTAAATGGCATATTATTATTATTATAGTCTTTATGCAGACAAGTTCGCCCTGGCTAAGAGTGGAGAGGCAGCAATGGGATGGAGGGGTGGAGAGAGTTTCATTTCATTTGTAGAGGGTCAGCACTCAAAAGGATTTAAAGATTCTTATGTCACTTTTTTTAATTGAGGCAAGAAGAGAAAGTTAGGCTGCAGAGACACTTACGTTACATTCTAGTCATTTAGCTTAGCAGATGCTCTTATCCAAAGCAACTTGATTTCCGTGCACAGGATGCGCGGTCCACGTGACAGAATTTGGGTGTGACGCTTTTGATCCTCAAAGTGTAGCCACTAGCAGTTAGCTAGCAGCATCCGTCAAGATTTGTCCTCTTACTTGTCACACAACTAACATTACCGGTAGCTTGCTGGATCAAGTGATGCCACATTCCTAGGGCCATGCGTTTTTGTTTTTTGGGGCACTTGAGAGATGGTTTTCCAACCCGAGTATGCAGCATTTGTTTCATCCACTGCACACCTGCGTGTCGGCCATTTGCGGTTATTGCCTACATGAGTGCTGGTGGAAAATTATTTTAGGACATCGGACATGACAATGGCATTAATACATGCTAATAGCTAACTCGCGAGAACCATCCAAACTACACAATATGTTTTGAATTGGCTTTCTAGTTAGTCTGTTGTAGGCTATATCATATACCGTATATTTAATCTGCTAGGCAATGTCTCTCACTCTCCCTCTCTGGCAACGACCCACTGGCAAACACACAGGTGATGCACACACCATGACTTTACCAGGATGTTCATTGCAGACCAAAAACTGCATGATTGAAAGACCGCTCGTGCCTGTCAATGCAGGCCAACAATAATTATACTCCAATGCGCTTTGTAATGCACTCTCCTCCCAAAGGAAACAGATACAATTCTGATCGGAGAAGCCTAATTGTTTTACAGTGATTTTCGCGTGATTTTATTTTACTTGTCCAGCCGGACGACAATTTCTAATCTGCTTGTCCGGCAATTATTTTGACTTGCCCCCCCGGAAGCGTTAATGTCAAGCCCTGTTACACACAAAATAGACCCATTTGAAATATGATCAAATAAAGTAGCCTATTGTGGCAAAGATGCGTCCGTAGCAGATTGCTAAACTGTACTTTATATGGATAATAATGTAGGTAGGCTAACCATTTTTTTTTTTGCAAGGCATAAATTAAACGAGCGCTTTCTGGTCACTAATCTGGATATGTGCGCCACCATTGCACACCAATGCTGATGACTGGTCAACAACACGCGCAGCTTCCTGTTCTGAAGCACAGATAAGTTTTTGAAACAAGAATTTGGTGCAATGCCGTAGGCCCATGTTAGTGACCAGTTCAAATAAGCAAAGGTATAAATATAGAATAGAAATGGTTGGCTATATGGTCGGCTATATGTAGCCTACTTAAATTGTATTTTCTATCAAGTTGAGTCTCAAATTTGTGACTCGAGTCACTCGAATCAAAGTCATGTGACGAGAGTCAATACATCTGGCTTTAAGCGCACTGTTTGATTAAATAATTAAGACAAATGATTCAAGAGGGAACCAGAGATCTAGATAAACGTCCCCCCCCCCCCCAATATTGGTTGACCAACAGCCTATAGACCAAACAATTGACTAAATGGGGTCAGCCCCAAGAGTCAGAATATCATTCAGAGTACCTGAGCTTTTACGCGCTTTGTGGAGGCAGAGAAGCGCATCTCTCCAAATACTGCGGTCTAAACAGAGTTGGAGATGTTCATGGATTGTTATTTTTATAGCAAATGAAACTAGGCTAGCCATTTGTGTTCTGAAAAGTCCCCACACTACATTTTCTGATATAAAAAATGCCCATCATACCCATAGAGACCTGGCAGTGTGGTGCCAGGAAAACATCCTCTCCCTCAATGCGAGTAAGACAAAGGAGCTGATCGTGGACTACAGGAAAAGGCAGGCCGAACAGGCCCCCATTAACATTGACAGGGCTGTAGTGGAGCGGGTCGAGAGTTTCAAGTTCCTTGGTGTCCACATCACCAACAAACTATCATGGTCCAAACACACCAAAACAGTCGTGAAGAGGGCAAGACAACACCTTTTCCCCCTCAGGAGACTGAAAAGATTTGGCATGGGTCCCCAGATCCTCAAAAAGTTATACAGCTGCACCATCGGGAGCATCCTGACCGGTTGCATCACAGCCTGGTATGGCAACTGTGCGGCATCAGACCATAAGGCGCTATAGTGGGTAGTGCGTACGGCCCAGTACATCACTGGGGCCAAGCTTCCTGCCATCCAGGACCTACATACTAGGCGGTGTCAGAGGAAGGCCCAAAAAGACTCCAGTCACCCAAGTCATAGACTGTTCTCTCTGCTACCACACAGCTCCGGAGCTTCAAGTCAAGGACCAAAAGGTTCCTTAACAGGTTCTACCCACAAGCCAAGTCCCGTGTAGCTCAGTTGGTAGAGTATGGTGTTTGCAACGTCAGGGTTGTGGGTTCGATTCTCACGGGGGGCCAGTATGAAAAATGTATGCACTAACTGTAAGTCGCTCTGGATAAGAGCGTCTGCTAAATGACTAAAAAAATTTTTTTAAATAAGACTCCTGAACAATTAATCAAATGGCCCCCCTCCCCCCTTTGTTTTTACACTGCTGCTACTTGCTGTTTATTATCTATGCTTAGTCACTTTACCCCTACCTACATGTACAAATTACCTCGACTAACCTGTACCCCTGCACATTGATCCGGTACCGGTACCCCCTGTATATAGCCGAGTTGTTATTTTATTGTACTCTAGTTTATTTAGTAAATATTTTTTTTACTCATTCTTGAACTGCATTGTTGGTTAAGGGCTTGTAAGTAAGCATTTCAGGGTAAGGTCTACACTGGTTGTATTCCGCGCATGTGAGGAATAAAATTTGATGTTAAGAACAGACAACAAATACCTTGTGAAATACTGTTGTTGATTGATGTGGTCTTGTTACTTAAGGATGAGACTGACTATATTCTCCACAACCTTCTAAGGTAGAAGCATTTACATTTATTTCAGATGGCTGTCTATGCTGTCTTTCCGTTTATAAGCTAATGCTAAATTGCAGGTGTTGCTAAATATATTGTGTGGAAAGAACGTCCCAGCAGGGTATTGGCACGCTCTTTTTTTCCAAGTTATATTGTGATTTTGAAACGTTTTATGTTTTCAGGCTGGGTTCATAGTCTCTCCCCTTTAACTGTTCTAATCGCCCCATTTTTATAACCTCCGATGATCAGGGATTGAGGCTGTTGGAGAGGATCAGTTTGAGCAAAGTGACGTTTCTGGACGATGCACCATGCTGCCTTGACAAAATGACCGAGCTGCGAAGATTACGGTTTAATTTGAGAAAGGCCAAGGGCGCTCCCCTCTCCCGATGACATGACGGGCCTTTGGTTTTGAGGTTTTGACCGGTTCAACCCGGACCAGCATAAAATAACTTATTCAGTATCTAAGGGGCTAGCCTTCCAATGTTTGTCAATAATCAAAACATGCTTAGAAAGCGCATCTGGGAAAGATAACTCGCCAACTAGCCTAGCGGGAAGGTTCTCGACTGTTCTAACCAAATATGATGCGCCACAATGCTGTCAAGACCGACAACCACTCCTTGCTAGCTACTACTGCTGCTAGTAGCGTTAGCACATGGCTAGAAGGGGTCCACCATGTCAAATTACCGTCAAGTTATTGTTTTTTTTTTGCATTTTAACTAACCCTTTTCTTCTCCTAACCTGCTGTATAAATTCTAACCTGCTACGAGAATTCAAATCTGGCGTTAAATTTCACAAAAGCTGGATCCCTTCAAGCCATGACCGACAACCAGACCAAGCAAGCTAGTAACGTTAGCACAAGTTGACGGACAAAGCCAGGACGTAACTTAGCTACTTTACCTAACTAGACGCGGTGACTACTATGAAACAATATACATGGGTTTACACTTGAACTATCAAACCCATGTTAGCATATTACTAATGCACCTAGATTTTTTTGGGTTTAGCTATCTATGAACAAACGGTACAGAGCGTCGCTAGCTAGTAAGAATACCGGTACGCCCAATTGATGCGAGGAGACGCTAGTTAGTTAGCTACTTGTTAGCATCATGATAACGGTGGACTTTGTAACGTATTTTATTTGAAATATAATGCGTCGATCTGGATAGAAACAGCATATATTTACCAAATCATGCAATTTGGTAACACATATGCACTGATAACTAGACAGATGCAGGTGGATTGTGTCTGAATGAGCGAAGCATGAAACGCTACTCACCATCATCTTTGCAATTATTTTTGAGAGAAACCGAACCGGTGTTCTATCCCACAATGCAGTTCGACTATGAGCCTCTCTTCCGGTTTAATATAGCGTTTTGCCGCCATCTAGATTTCTCGTACACATCTATTTTGAGCAGGGGTGCCTTTGTAACTTTGTACTTGTCACTGGGACAAGCTTCAGAATTGGAACACGATTCAATTGATCTATTTTGACGTTGACGAATCGTATATTTCTAGTCCCAATTCAATAACATTCTTTGCAATTTCTCTTGATATCGGCATTATTTTGTTTAGTGCACGCTGTCACATCAGTCCCAAGCCATTGCAGGTATTTCAGGAGTCGACTGTTAAAAATGTGGTCTTTCAATTCAGTTCACACAATAAATTATCATCCTAGATCATCCTATACAAAATACAACATTTCCCCTTTCATCTGTGCTATTACTAATTGTAGCTGTTTCCACACATGCAGTTTACATTTTTAGTCATTTAGCAGAAGATCTTATCCAGAGCGACTTACAGTTAGTGAGTGCATACATTTTTCATACTGCACATCTATTTCGTGCACATGCACATCCATTTCCATTATCACTACTCTGTACCTAGTAAAACTCTGGGCCCCAGTGGAGAGGGACAAGAGCTTCAAGTTCCTCGGTGTCCACATCACTGAGGACTTAACGTGGACCTGTCACACCAGTACAGTTGTGAAGAAGGCAGGGCATTGCCTCTTCTCCCTCAAAAGGCTGAAACGATTTGGGATGGCCACTCAGATCCTTAGGAACTTTTACAGCTGCACCATTGAGAGCATCCTGACTGGTTGTATCACCATCTGGTAAGGCAACTGCACCGCCCTCAACCGGATTCCCTACAGCGGGTGGTGCGGACGGCCCAGCGCATCACTGGGAGTGAGCTCCCTGCCATCCAGGACGTACATGCCAGGCAGTGTCTGAGAAAGGCCTGAAAAATTGCCAAACCCTCCAGCCACCTGAGACATGGACTGTTCTCCATGCTCCCGTCCGGCAGACCGTACCGGTGCATCAAGGCTCAGACCAACAGACTCCTAAACAGCTTCTATCCCCTGGCCATAAGACTGTTAAATGGCTAACAACTACTCCACCTCACACCTACAGTGCCTTGCAAAAGTATTCATCCCCCTTGGCGTTTTTCCTATTATGTTGTATTACAACCTGTAATTTAAATAGATTTTTATTTGGATTTCATGTAATGGACAAAATAGTCCAAATTGGTGAAGTGAAATGAAAAAAATAAATAACAGAAAAGTGGTGCGTGCATATGTATTCGCCCCCTTTGCTATGAAGCCCCTAAATAAGATCTGGTGCAACCAATTACCTTCAGAAGTCACATTAGTTAAATAAAGTCCACCTGTGTGCAAGCTAAGTGTCACATGATCTGTCACATGATCTCAGTATATATACACCTGTTCTGAAAGACCCCAGAGTCTGCAACACCACTAAGCAAGGGGCACCACCAAGCAAGCGGCACCATGAAAACCAAGGAGCTCTCCAAACAGGTCAGGGACAAAGTTGTGGAGAAGTACAGATCAGGGTTGGGTTATAAAAAAATATCAGAAACTTTGAAAATCCCACGGAGCACCATTCAATCCATTATTAAAAAATGGAAAGAATATGGCACCACAACAAACCTGCCAAGAGAGGGCCGCCCACCAAAACTCACGGACCAGGCAAGGAGGGCATTAATCAGAGAGGCAACAAAGAGATCAAAGAGAACCTTGAAGGAGCTGCAAAGCTCCACAGCGGAGATTGGAGTATCTGTCCATAGGACCACTTTATGCCGTACACTCCACAGAGCTGGGCTTTATGGAAGAGTGGCCAGAAAAAATGCCATTACTTAAAGAAAAAATTAAGCAAACACGTTTGGTGTTCGCCAAAAGGCATGTGGGAGACTCCCCAAACATATGGAAGAAGGTACTCTGGTCAGATGAGACTAAAATGTAGCTTTTTGGCCATCAAGGAAAAAGCTATGTCTGGCGCAAACCCAACACCTCTCATCACCCCGAGAACACCATCCCCACGGTGAAGCAAGGTGGTGGCAGCATCATGCTGTGGGGATGTTTTTCATCGGCAGGGACTGGGAAACTGGTCAGAATTGAAGGAATGATGGATGGCGCTAAATACAGGGAAATTCTTGAGGGAAACCTGTTTCAGTCTTCCAGAGATTTGAGACTGGGACGGAGGTTCACCTTCCAGCAGGACAATGACCCTAAGCATACTGCTAAAGCAACACTCGAGTGGTTTAAGGGGAAACATTTAAATGTCTTGGAATGGCCTAGTCAAAGCCCAGACCTCAATCCAATTGAGAATCTGTGGTATGACTTAAAGATTGCTGTAAACGTTATTATTGATTAGATTTATTACAACCACTACGCTGCAGTCCATTGATTATTGATTGCCATTAACATTAGTATCTATTTATCCTGCTACTGGTCACTATCAGTCCTGTTTACATGTACAGTACCAGTTAAACGTTTGGACACCTACTCATTCAAGGGTTTTTCTTTATTTTTACTATTTTTTACATTGTAGAATAATAGTGAAGACATCAAAACTATGAAATAACACATGGAATCATTTAGTAACCAAAAAAGTGTTAAACAAATCAAAATATATTTTATATTTGAGATTCTTCAAATAGCCACCCTTTGCCTTGATCACAGCTTTGCACACTCTTGGCATTCTCTCAACCAGCTTCATGAGGTAGTCACCTGGAATGCATTTCAATTAACAGGTGTGCCTTGGTAAAAGTTAATTTGTGGAATTTATTTCCTTCTTAATGCGTTTGAGCCAATCAGTTGTGTTGTGACAAGGTAGGGGGTGGTATACAGAAGATAGCCCTATTTGGTAAAAGACCAAGTCCATATTATGGCAAGAACAGCTCAAATAAGCAAAGAGAAACGACAGTCCATTATTACTTTAAGACACGAAGGTTAGTCAATACTGAACATTTCAAGAACTTTGAAAGTTTCTTCAAGTGCAGTAGCAAAAACCATCAAGCGCTATGATGAAACTGGCTCTCATGAGGACCGCCACAGGAAAGGAAGACCCAGAGTTACCTCTGCTGCAAAGGATAAGTTCATTAGAGTTACCAGCCTCAGAAATTGCAGCCCAAATATGCTTCACAGAGTTCAAGTCACAGACACATCTCAACATCAACTGTTTAGAGGGGACTGTGTGAATCAGGCCTTCATGGTCGAATTGCTGCAAAGAAAACACTACTAAATGACACCAATAAGAAGAAGAGACCTGCTTGGGCCAAGAAACACGAGCAATGGCAATTAGACCGGTGGAAATGTGTCCTTTGGTCTGGAGTCCAAATTTGAGATTTTTGGTTCCAACCGCCGTGTCTTTGTGAGACGCGGTGTGGGTGAACGGATGATCTCCGCATGTGTAGTCCCCACCGTAGAGCATGGAGGAGGAGGTGTTATGGTGTGGGGGTGATTTGCTGGTGACACTGTCTGTGATTTATTTAGAATCAAGGCACACTTAACCAGCATGGCTACCACAGCATTCTGCAGCGATACGCCATCCCATCTGGTTTGGGCTTAGTGGGACTATCATTTGTTTTTCAACAGGACAATGACCCAACACACCTCCAGGCTGTGTAAGGGCTATTTTACCAAGAAGGAAAGTGATGGAGTGCTGCATCAGATGACCTGGCCTCCACAATCCCCCGACCTCAACCCATTTGAGATAGTTTGGGATGAGTCGGACGGCAGAGGGAAGGAAAAGAAGCCAACGATTGCTCAGCATATGTGGGAACTTCTTCAAGACTGTTGGAAAAGCATTCCAGGTGAAGCTGGTTGAGAGAATGCCAAGAGTGTTCAAAGCTGTCATAAAGGCAAAGGGTGGCTATTTGAAGAATCTCAAATCTCAAATATATTTTGATTTGTTTATCACTTTTTTGGTTACTACATGATTCCATATGTGTTATTTCATAGTTGTGATGCCTTCACTATTATTCTACAATGTAGAAAATAGTAAAAATAAAGAAAAAACCTTGAATGAGTAGGTGTGTCCAAACTTTTGACTGTTACTTTTGAGTGGCTTGCGAGAAGTATTCACCCCCCTTGGCATTTTTCCTATTTTGTTGCCTTACAACCTGGAATTTAAATGGATCTTTGGGGGGTTTGTATCATTTGATCTACACAACATGCCTACCACTTTGAAGATGCAAAATATGTTTTCTTGTGAAACAAACAAGAAATAAGACAAAAAAAACAGACAACTTGAGTGTGCATAACTATTCACCCCTCCCAAAATCAATACTTTATAGAGCCACCTTTTGCAGCAATTATAGCTGCAAGTCTCTTGGGGTATGTCTCTATAAGCGTGGCACATCTAGCCACTGGGATTTTTGCCCATTCTTCAAGGCAAAACTGTATCTATAGTGCCTTCAGAAAGTATTTATACCCCTTTACTTTTTCCACATTTTGTTGTGTTACAGCCTGAATTTTAAATGGATTAAATGTAGATTTTTTGGGTCAATGGCCTACACACAATACCCCATAATGTCAAAGTGGAACTATGTTTCTGGACATTTTTACAAATGTATAAAAAATGTAAATAAGTATTCAACCCCTTTGTTATGGCAAGCCTAAATAAGTTCAGGAGTAAACATTTGCTTAACACGTCACATAGTAAGTTGCATTGACTCACTCTGTGTGCAATAACAGTTTTGAATGACTACCTCATCTCTGTACCCCACACATACAGATAATTGTAAGGTCCCTCAGTCGAGCAGTGAATTTCAAACACAGATTCAACCACATAAGACCAGAACTTGAAGAATCTTCACTGTAGATGTGTGAGAATTTTTTTGTAAATACATTTTGAATTCAGCCTGTAATGCAACAAAATGTGGAATAAGTCAAGGGGTATGAATACCTTACATTTACATTTACATTTACGTCATTTAGCAGACGCTCTTATCCAGAGCGACTTACAAATAGGTGCATTCACCCTATAG